CCCCAAAACCCCAAAACCCCAAAACCCCAAAACCCCGCGTATTGGCAATCTTATTGAAAATATCTGTAATTTAAAGAATTTTGAATTAGAAATGGAGGAAGAAGCATTTCATCATTATGGAGGAAAAGTTACCTTCAGAAGTTTAAAGAATGGCAAGTACCTTGCAGTCGACCTTAAAAATGCCTGCGCTACTGCTACTGGAAACCATCCCATCCTGTATGTTCAGGATCTGGATTTCCCTAAGCAAGAGGAGCTGAGAGTACTGAAATTTGATAATAGAGAGTCTACTGAGGTCATGACCTTTGGAACTGCTCTCTGATTCCAGACTGAAGATGGTTCATACCTAACATTCAATGCAAATGGAGAAATGAAAGTAGAGAAAAACCCAAATTATGAGAGCGGAAATAATAACATAGCTAAACTTGCGCAATGGACTATCCTGGACTCTAATGATATTTTGAACAGAGGCCCAGTTACTCAGTTTGATGATATTGCTTTAAGAATTCCTTTTGGGTCTTATTTGATGACTGAAGATAGCCTCTTGATGAGTGCAAATGGCCAAGCGATTAATGAAGAGACTTCATTTAAACTAGTCAAGGCTAATATCCCTTTCCTCCCTGACTGGTTGATGAAGAGACCAGGAGTTAACCACAACAATCTTGTATCTAGACCATTCTTCGATAAGCACATTCCTAATCAAAGAAAGAAGGTATATGAAGAAAAGCCAAAGCCTATAGGAACATTTCCTGTGGAGATCCAGGAAACTCTTCTTCTTGAAGATCTTCTGCACGCAATGAACTCTGTTGAAGGAGTTTATATCAGAAGGATCAACGTTGAAAATGAGTACGAGTCCTCAAGATATGTCTACAGAGTAGAACCTGATGAAGAGCAATCTACTTGCGATTTCAGTCTGCTTTACCTCATTGGTAAAATACTTCCAATGTGTAACAACCATGACAGAGTGTTAGAATTTGTGAGCACTCACTCCCATTTTGAATACGGTCAGGTGAGCCAGGCTCTTTGTGGAGCCATTAATATCCTTTTAAAGGAATATCTTGTCTTAGTAACCCAACTAGATACTGAATTTGTTAAAGGAAACCTTACTCTTCAAAAGACTTGGTTTTACATCCAGCAGTCAATGAGAATGATGGAAAATTTGAATAAATTGGCTGTCGATGCTGCTGATAAAAGAGGAGGAGCTCTTCTAAATGTCATATATAAGTTCCTCACAATCACTAGTGACAAGAGCATCAAAGAACTGTTCAGCTTCTTGCTAGAGAAAGCAGCTGAACCTTTCCTGAAGATCTTGATGAAATGGATCTACTTCGGTGTCCTTAATGATCCTTTTGATGAATTTTTGGTTGAAGAAGACCCCTCTATGAATAAGGATAATATTGAGAAAGATTTTAATGACTCTTATTGGCAGAAAAGGTTTACTTTTAGGGAGGATATGATTCCTATCTTCCTTGGGAAGCTTTCAATTAAAATATTACACACTGGAAAATACTTAAATGTAATTAGAGAATGAGGCAAAGAAATTAAGCACCCTTGTGAGCAAGAGATAAAAATATCGATAAACCAATCTGTTTTGAATAAAGGCAACTCTCAAGCATCTCTTATCCAGCACAAGGATTTCTCAGAACCTATCGAAACCGCTCATTCGTGGAGTTCACAAAGATTATTGGACCTCTTCCTTGTTGAAGAAAGGCTGATGGATAGGATAAAATCAATCAAGCATTACTTCTTCCTTGATCTAGGAGATTTCTTTATTCACTTCTTTGACAGTGCTGATAAATATCTTGAAAATAATACTAAGGAAGTCTCAAATGACAAACTGAAATCTTTACTAGAGATGGCTATTCGTACTTCAACAGCCAATGCAGATCCTTTCAAAGATGATCTGACTTGAGAGCTAAATAATTACTCTTTAATTGAACAGATTTTCGTCATGCAAAATATCAGAGGAGCTTTTGGAACAAATGCTTATGCTGCAGATGCTGGCTCTGGACAAAGACACAATTTTCCACAAGTGCCAATATCAGGAATGAATTCTATTCAAAACTATAAATGTGTGGATAGTTTTACTTTAGACTATAAAGTTCAGTGGCCTCTAACTCTGATCATCTCAAGAAGAGCTATTACTAAATATCAACTCATTTTCAGACATCTTTTCCTATGCAAATATATTGAAAGACATTTGGGAAACTCCTGGCTGATGCATCAGGGCACAAAAGAGCTCAATCTCGACACCTTTTTGCTTGCTTCCTATAACTTGAGACATAGAATGCATCATTTCTGTAAAAACTATGTTTACTATATTGTTGTAGAAGTTCTTGAGCCAAACTTCCATAAGTTCAAGCAGAATATGGAGAAGGTCAAAACTGTTGATGAAATCCTGGAGCTCCATAATACCTTCCTTGACCAATGCTTGAAGGAGTGATTGCTCACAGACCAGAATTTATTAAAAATTGTTATAAAAATAGTCAACTGCTGTTTCTTCTTCAGTAGAATAATGCACAGGCAAGCAGCTACCATTCAGGAAGAAGATAGTGTCCTCACTGCTCAGAATATGGTCATTGATACTAATGAGGGTCCTTCTGCATACTGTAAGTATAGACAGACTAAGATTAATGCTGAGAGAGAATCTGCTAAGAAAGCTATTACTGAAAGTGGGTACAAGAGCATGATTGAAAAGTTTACTAAGACCTTTGATACCAACCTTAAGCAGTTCATGAACGCTATAAAGGCTTCCCATTATGATCCATACATCTCTAATCTTCTGATGAGACTTGATTTCAATGGATTTTATGCTGAAAACCTTCTATCTCAGTTCGAAGGATTTGGAGGAAACTCTTTTGCCCCATCAGAGAGCGTAAACATGAGCAATAACGATAATTCAATGTTCTAGAGATTTTTAATCAATTTAGCAATAAAAATTTCTCAATCTTGCTAATTAACTTCGGGGTTTTGGGGTTTTGGGGTTTTGGGGTTTTGGGG